CCCTCCCCCGGGGCCTGCACTCACCTTGGCCAGATCGGCCAGCGAGTTGGCCTGGTCACTCAGCCTCCCTTGCTCGATCTTCACGCTCCGCAGCCTGGGACACAGCGGGGCCGGGGTCAGGCGGCAGGTGCCCGGGCTGGGGTGGCTCACAAACATGCTCACCACAGGGGACCAGCCAGGACATCCTGGGCTGCCGACCCGGGCCAGGGGCAGACATGCACCCAGCCACCCCATGCACCCAGCCTGCTGGCCACCCTGGAACTTACTTCTGAGCCCTGGCGGGAGCAGGAGAGCAGGGGAGAAACCACAGGGCAGTTTATTCTCAGCGTAGCCGGAGCCCCATGCCCGTCCCTGCCCACCTCCCACAGGGGCCACCAGGCCCAGCAGGGAGAAGCCACTGGCCTCGCCACCCCTGCTGGGTGGCCTGGGTGCTGTGGCCCCCGGACAGCTGTGCCTGGGTGACCAGATCCAGAGGCTGAGTCGGCCCAGGTACCCCATAACCCTGGGCTCCCCACCCCGGACCCCGTCTGGACGGAGATGGAGACAGACACCCAGTCCGAGTCAGGGCCCCAAGGACTGACCACCAGGGACACCAACACCCTCCTGGGCTTGTCTGAGTGGGGTGAATGGTGTACCCCAGGGGTATGCTGGCATCAGATGCCCCAGAGCTTGGGGTATGACTGTCCAGGGCAGGGTCAATAGGGTGCCCTAACCTCATACAGCTGTTGTGCGGTGGGGCACACCTGTAACCCTAGAACTTGGGAGGCTGAGGCAGGAGGACCACTATAAGTTCGAGGCCAGCCTGGGCTACACAGTGAGTTCAAAGCCAGCCTGAGCTACATAGTGAGACCCTGTCTCAGCTGCCCCCCCAAAGCATCTGAACCAATAAACAAATAAAATAAAATAAATTTTATTTAGAGACAGAGAGGGTCTCAACTTAGGGCTGGGCTCGAACTTTTCATACTCCTGCCTCAGCCTCCCAGAGTACTGGGATCTTAGGTATGAGCTACTGCTGCATATCTGCCTACTGTTGAAATCCTAAATTGGCCACTGCTGTCCTGAGGAACTCGGGCCCAGGCTGCCCCTGGGCTCTTTATTGTAACTGGTGTTGCAGGATTCATAAAGTCCCCCAAGGGCCACCGTTGAGATCCACTTGATTAATTGTCAGGACAAAGGACAACACAGGAAATGAAAGAATTTCTCATTGTCCCATATGCTCGCATGGATCTGACCACAGCTGTCATTCTGAGGTTCCCAGCAGCCAAAGCAAAAACAGGAAATTGTCTTTGAGTCAAAGGGGTAAGACGGCTTGGTAATTCTAGAGAATAAGTTATGCTTTCTCCCACACGCACTGGGGACTTCCAGGACTTGTCCGAGGGCACTGTCTGGATGAACACCGGGCCCTCCCTCTGTGCTCCCATCCTGCCCAGCATGGAACTGCAGGCCCCAGCTTTCCACCCGGTCTGCAGGGGAAGCCCAGGAAGAGGCCATCGAGCCGCTGGCTTGGCCTCAGCCTCCTCCCGGGGCCACAGCTGGCCGCCTCCGTGCTAGACGGACACGGAAATGCGAGCTGGAAAGGTTCTGGACTTACTGATGGATGGCTTGGAGGAACTTACGCTGGTGTTTCCGAACCCGGGATTGGTCAGGCTTCTTCACCAGCCTGGTATGTTTGTAGATGAGCCACGTCTCCCTGAGAACATTAGCAGCGGCATTTTTTACCTGGGGCCAGAGAAAGAACAGCTCCTCAGGATAAGTGCACAAAAACAAAACAGAGCAGACAGAAAATTTCTGGAAACCTCTAGAAGCTTCTAGAAATGTCCAGAAACTTATGGAACCCTGGACTGTAAGGCAGAGCCACATTTCAGTGCACACCTGTGCGGTATGGTTGTGTCTCACACACTTCCTTGCTCGCCACCCCTGAACAGTGTGAACTTGGTGAATCGGAATAATGCAGATGGGAAAACCGAGGCACTGGTCAGTGATTCAGACAGGCACAGACATGCGAGCAGGGCCTCACCCGCTTGGTGAGCTGAGTGTCCATCATGAAGTTGTGAACGTGCTTCTCGGCCTTGGTGAGCTCCAGCTTCCGGGCCACCACGGCCACCACCAGGGCGGTGCAGCCAGCTCCCTGAGCGGGGTGGGGGTCATCAGTGTCCTCTGGGGCTGCCCGGGCCACCCTGCCCCACACCTCATCCAGCCCCTGAGAATGCTGAGGAGGGGCAGCGGGGTAAGAAAGGGACAAGAGCTGGGCCTGGTGGCGCACGCCTGTAATCCTAGCACTTGGGAGGCTGAGGCAGGAGGATCACTGTGAGTTCAAGACCAGCCTGGGCTACACAATGAGTTCCAGGTCAGTCTCAACCACATAGTGAGACCCTGTCTCAAAAAAAAAAAAGAAAAAAAAGAAAAAAGAAAGGGACAAGAAGCCGGGTACAGGGGTGCACACCTGAGAGCCAAGCTACTTGGAGGCTGAGGCAGGAGGACTAAGTTCAAGCCCAGCCCAGGCAACTTAGACCCTGTCTCCAAATGAAATTAAAAGGGCCGAGAGGCAGCTCAGCGGCGAGCGCTTGCCCGACATGTGTGAGACCTGGGCTTCCAGCCCCAGCACTGCAAAGTATAAACATTAAAAAAAAAAAAAAAGTAGGGGTGGGCAGGGGCTCCCTGAAGACACCTGTCTCAGGCTTCTGGCCAGGATCAGAGTCTTTATTAATCACCTACCTACCTTCCTCCCTTCTTACCCTCACTCCCTTCTTTTGTATTTTTTGAGACAGTCTTGCCAAGTTGCTAAATTGCCCAGGCTGGGCTTGAACTTGATCTCTTCCTGCTTCAGCCTCCCGAGTGCCAGCGTTTACAGGCATGTGCCGTGTCACCCCCTCCAGGACTAGGGCTTTGAGAGTCCCTAAACTCTGTTCTCAGGGGAAGCTCGGTCAACAGTGACAAAACACTTTGCTAGAATCTCTGCCCGGAAGACTATGTAGCCAGGAAGAAGACAACTAGGGATCCACACCAAAGAGGGAGCAGCACGAGGTGCTGTTTGGGCCAACTGAGTCATACAGGGTGCCCTCCACTCCAACAGGGGCTCCTCGGCCAAGGGTGGGGCTGGCTGTGACTTTGGCACTTCGAGGCATTTCACATAAAGGGGCTATGAAAGAAGTGATCACTGGGGAAACTGAGGCACAGAAGCACCCAATGCCCGATGCCAGGGCTGTGGAGGTAGAGGTGATGTCCCAGGCCTCACCATGATGCCGGTGAGCAGGCACACGCCCCTGCCACAGTAGGTGTGCGGGACCATGTCTCCGTAGCCGATGGACAGGAAGGTGATGGAGATGAGCCACATAGCCCCCAGGAAGTTGCTGGTCACCTCCTGCTTGTCGTGGTACCTGGAGGTGGGGCAGGAGGCCAGGTCAGGGCCGGGGCCCAGGGCAAGCGGCACCCTGGTGGGGACGTGACTGCAGACGAGTCCACCGGCCTCGCAGGGACTGGTCGGCCTGGGGCCATCAGTGCCTGGGGCAGCCCCGGGGGGACGGAACGGTGGCCTGCCCGCCCCTGCTCCTACTCCGGATCACTATGTGGCCCAGGCTGGCCTTGAACCCATGGAGATGCTCCTGCCTCAGCCTCCGAGTGCTGGGATCACACCATGCCCAGTGTCTGTTCCTTCTGATCTCCCCCGTGCCAGCTTACTCACCCCCTCAGCCTGGGATGTGACGGAGGACGAGACCCGTCCCACGGACAGACACACGGACACATGGGACACGGGTGGCTGAGGGCACCAGCACGGGCAGGGTGTGTGATGGGACTGGGTCAGGTAGCAGGAGGAGTGGCTGACAGGAAGCCTCGGGACACAGCTGGCTCGGGGAGGCCAGGATGGGTCCCATGGCCACAGCGGGGCCACAGCTGGGCTAGAGGGGGCCTGTGTGACCGCGCCAGGCCAGGCTGGGAGGCTGGCTCTCGGGGCCTGGGGACAACTTGGGGACCTGTCGCAACTCCCATTCCACAGTGGGTTCTGCTACCAGCTCCGGGAGGTTGGGGAGCCCCATTTCCTTCCCGGGTCAGTGGAATCTGGGACAGGGACCGGCGGGAGACAAGCGGGCCCCGCCCTGGCCCCCAGACTAGACTTCCGGGTGCTCACCTGCCCAGAAGCAGGGCCGAGGGGACATGCGGGCCACAGCGAGGGGAGCAGGGACAAGCGTCTCTGTGGGCGTGGAATTTAGGACTGGCTGCCCGCTGGCCTCGCCCCGACCCGGCGGGGACCTGGGGACCCCAACCTGACGTTTCTAATTAGGCTTCTGAGGTGGGCTGTGGGGGCAGCTTGGGGACCCGAGGTGACCCAAGGGGTGAGGACCCCCGAGACCCTCCCTGTGTCCACCACAGGGCCAGCTGGGACCTTTTGGTCCCTTGGACAACCGGGCACTGGCCTGGGCATGCCAGTGGCCCTGAGCCTCAGTTTCCCCACAAGCTGGGCGAGTAGCCTGCTGCCCTCCAGGGACACCGGGGTCACCGACCCCAAGGTCCTGGGGCTGAGCCAGCTCGGGGACCAGCAGAGTCCCCCTCTGGGCCTCTGGGCCCAAGGACCGGGTCTGGGGTGATGCCCTCCCGTCTCTCCTATGGCAGCGAATCTTAAATTCCTAGCAGGGGAAAGCGGGGGAACAGCGGCGGTGGCGGTGGGGGTCCCTCCTCAGAGCAGACTCACATGTCTTCCCTGCGGTCCGGCAGGGCGGGCAGAGAGGAGAAGGAAAGCTGGTTAAATGTGGGGGCGGGGCCAGGAGGGATGCCTGGTCAGAGGTCAGAGGCCAGAGGTCAGAGGCCAGAGGTCAGCCTCCAGAGCGAGGGCTTCCTACCTCTCGCACACGCGCACTGTCCAGGCAGCGATGACCCAGGAGGAGATGCTGAAGACCAGCAGCACGGTGCCGGGGCAGATGGTCATGAGCGTCTTCATGACGAAGCGCGTGTTGAAGGTGATCTTGTTGAGCGCCCCGATGCTGCGCGACGAGGCGTCCGTGAAGATCTTGCTGTGCAGCAGCATGACGCGGCCCAGCAGGTAGAGGCGCAGGAACATGGGGATGGACAGCAGCACGTCCACATCGGCCTCGGCCACCGACGGCGCGTACGTGAAGGCCAGCCGCGCCGTCCAGGTGAAGCGGTAGTGTCCAGGCACCGGGTGGATGGCGCATACCGCCAGCTCCAGCGAGATGCGGAGGATGCGCTCGCGGGTCATGGCGATTCGCCAGTCGTCGGCCCCATTGTCCGCCATGAACAGCTGCGGAGGGAGGTGGCACTCAGCCCCAAGCCCAACATGGCGCTTTGAACATCCCCAGGCTGAAACCCAAACTGGCTGGAGCTGCCGCCCCACCACAGTCAGAAATGGGGCGCATGAACAGAACTCTCTGGTCATATGTGCCGGGGAGAATTCGAACAAAACAGCAGCCTAGATCTGCAGCTACTTGGGAGGCTGAGGCAGGAGGATCTTGACTTTAAGCCCAGCCTGGGCAGTTTAGTGACTTAGCAAGATCTTTAAAAAAAAAAAGGTGTGTGTGGTGGGAGTAGAAGGAATATAAAGGTGGGTAAAGAGGAATGAATATAATCAAAATACATTATACACATTAAGCCCCCCCAAATGTGAAACTGGGGGTAGGGGGACAAGGCATTGATAGAGTGAATGATGGAGGTATTTTCCGGGTGTGGTGGCGTCACTTTGTTTTGTAGAGGTGCTGAGGATGGACCCCAGGGCCTTTCCACCCCCAGCCCTTTTTATTTTTTATTTTGAGACAGGGTCTCGCTAAGTTGCCCAGCATGAGCGCCAACTTGAGATCCTCCTGCCTCAGCCTCCCAGGGTGCTGGGACGGCAGGCGAGTGCCACCACACCTGGCTTACCTCTTTTCTTTGTGAACTCAGCAATGAAAATGAAAGTGTAGGCCATGTTACAGATAATTCTGGGGGGACGGGCACTTCTGTTTTCCCTCTAAAGACCTCATCTGTCCCTCGGTGTCCCCGGGCCCGGTGGGGCCACCAACCTGGATCTCCCGGGCGTGGTACAGCACGACAAGGCCCAACAGGATGATGGTAGACAGGCTGATGAGGCATTTCAGGGCGAAGGAATACAGAGACGCCTGGGACAGAGGGGACACAGGACGCCGCAGGGTGGGCGTCAGGGATGGCCAGAGGCAGCACCCGCCCACCAAGCCTCGACTTCCCCGAGGTGCCCGGCCCCTGAGAGCTTTGCTTTCTTTTTGCTTTGATTTTGGGGGACCCTGGGGCCCACCTTGGTGTAGACGCCCCAGGACAGCTCGGTCTCCGTCACCATGACGACGATGCCGAATACGCCGAAGATGAGCGCATAGTCACTGAGCCGCTTCCGCTTCTCAAACAGCGCGCGCCGGTGGCCCAGGCGGTGGCCCGCGGCGGGCGG